AATGAGGGACTTTCCATAGTTGGTGCGTGACAATTAAAGAATCATTGCAGTTGCAAATTGCTTTTAGTCATAATTAGGTTTTAATGGTTTATTTTGCATGCATTTTGTAAACTGTTGAGTGCATATGAATCTGACCAGAAAATATTACTTAGTTGGTTTGTTTCTGCCATAGAATAAAAAAAATAAAAAAGGCAATTGCGACTTTTTATCTCAAAATTCAGCCTTTTTTTCATGCAATTCTGTGAACGGTGAGATACAAACAAATACAATTCAGAGAAAAAAAGTCAGCATTGCAAGATATAAACTCAATTGCAAAAAAAAAATTGTGAGATATAAACTCAGAATTGTGTGAAAAAGAGTCAGAATTGCAAGATATACTCTAAAAAAATGCTGGGTTGTCTCAACACAAAACATTTGCGTTAAAAATTTTATTTAAAAATTTAACCCAACAGCTGTGTTAGTCCATATTTGACCCAAAGTTGGGTTGAAACAACCCAGCATTTTTAAACTCAAAATTCAGAAAAAAAATTCAAAATTGTGTTTGATATTAACTCCAAATTGCAAGAAAAAAAGAATTGAGATATAAACTCAGAATTGCAAGAAAAAAAGAATTGTGAGACAAACTCAGAATTGCAAGAAAAAAAGAATTGTGAGACAAACTCAGAATTGCAAGAAAAAAAGAATTGTGAGACAAACTCAGAATTGCAAGAAAAAAAAGAATTGTGAGACAAACTCAGAATTGCAAGAAAAAAGAATTGTGAGACAAACTCAGAATTGCAAGAAAAAAAGAATTGTGAGATATAAACTCAGAATTGCAAGAAAAAAGAATTGTGAGATATAACTCAGAATTGCAAGAAAAAAAGAATTGTGAGACAAACTCAGAATTGCAAGAAAAAAAGAATTGTGAGACAAACTCAGAATTGCAAAGAACACCATCCCAACCGTGAAGCATGGGGGTGGAAACATCATGATTTGGGGGTGCTTTTCTGCTAAGGGGACAGGACGACTGCAACGATCTCTCCATTCTTTGTAAGTGGGAAAACTTGAAAAATCGGCAGTGTATCAAATACTTATTTGCCCCACTGTATATATATTAGTAAAAAAAAACATCAAAATACGAAGTAAACGAAAAACATCAAATACGAAGTGTCATTCTGGGAGTGTCAATTTACGGGTTTTCACTGTAAATTATACAATGACTATTTCTTTTTCACTCCCAAAAAACGTAATTTTAACAGTATTTTACTGTAAAATTACATTAATCAGAATTGCAAGAAAAAAAGAATTGTGAGAAACTCAGAATTGCAAGAAAAAAGAATTGTGAGGCAAACTCAGAATTGCAAGAAAAAAAGAATTGTGAGACAAACTCAGAATTACGAGACAAACTCAAAATTCAGAGAAAAAAAGAATTGCAAGAAAAAAAAAGAATTGAGATATAAAATCAAAATTCAGAAAAAAAAATCAAAATTGCAAGATATAAACTCAGATTCAGAATTTTTTTTTGAATTGTGAGATATAAATTCAGAATTGTGAGAAAAAGACTCAGAATTGCAAGACAAACAAAAAAGACAGCATTGTGAGATATATAATCAAAATTGCAAGAATTGTGAGATATACAAATGATAAAGCACAGCGTTTAAAACATCAATAACACACCTAATGTGCATCTAATGTGCTAAAAAGCTTCTCACATTACTCATGAAATGGCAAAGTAAGAAATACGCAATCGCTCAATGCATCTAATTTAGTTGAAGCACATTGCATCATAATTCTGACTCTGTTTCCACACTGCTGCTCTATATTGGGAAAGCAGAATGGACGTGGTCTCTATAAATAAGAAGCTCCAGGCCTTTAATCACATCAGCGGATCGCCTGACTGAAGCAGCTCCTGAAACCATTCACTGACCATCTCATTCAGAGCCCTCGTCTTAGTTAGGCCTGTCACCATCAGGAATTCTGCACTGACAATCAATTGTCTTACAACACTGTAAAAAAAAAAAAATCGGTGACATTTACGGTAAAATACAGACAGCTGTGGTTGCCAGAACTTCACAGTTAAAAATACGGTAGCAACATTTGAGGTTTTACAGACTTAACTTAAATTCACAATAAAAAAACGTATTTCATTAACTGATGTAATGTTAATAAACCAGCATACTGAAGTACTAATAACTGTTTTGAACCATTGTAATGCACTGATAACCAACAAAAACAGGTGGTGATGAGAAAGTCACGTGATGAACCAAAGCTCATCACAAACAGCTCTTCCACAAGCCGAGAAGGGAAATAATGTAATTACAGTTATTCACCGTATATAGTATGGAAACTTACTGTTAACCAATTAACAGGTTTTTACTGTAGCATTTTTACAGTCTTTTACTGTACTTTTACCATTTTTTACAGTGAAATAATTGTGATTAATGATTTCTTTCTGTTTTGTTCATGTCACTTACAGTGTAAGCATTAAACATAGTTTTTTTAATGCTATATATTACTTTTTACTATATTTTACAATATCTTAATATAATAAAATAAGCACATATGATTTTCTTTAATGCTGTGAAAATTAATAATATTTATATAATTCATTATTTATAATATAATATAATATAATAATATAAAACATTTAAGCTCTTAAATTTCCCTTCTTTGGATGGCTTGAAATTATTGAAATTTAGTGTTATTTTAATATAATTGAGATACTATTACAGTTTTTAATATTTTGAATTCTATTTTATTTGATCTTTTCTGCTTTCTTGTTAATTTTAGTTAAAGTTTTAGTAATTCTGTTGTTTTTGCTGTATTAAAATGTCTATACAGTTTATTAATTTCAGTTTTAGTTTATTGTTTTTTAGTACATCAAGTTAAGCTAAATTAAAATGAGAAATGCTGCCTTCTTAACTAGCTTTTTATTTTATTTCAGTTAACATTTATTTTATTTCAAGCAACACTTATTGCACAATTATTGCAGTTATCTCAAAATAATTGCAATTATATTAAATAACCACGATCAGACAATTAATTAATAATTGCGACAGACCTAGTCTTATTGTGATTGATTCATCAGTGCATATTAATCTGAAGAAATGAACAGAATGTCGGCTGTGCATGATGACATTAAAGGCACTTGCACACTAGAAAAAAAATACTTCAAGAAGCGTTTGATGAATAGGAAGGCATCTGATGCATTTTGGGATTGTGTGGAAATGTCAGAATGCATTGCATTAGCAGGTTTCAGATTCAGCTGCATGTCAGATGATGACTTTCACAAACTCCTGTGACGCACGCAGCATTCCCATCAAAATCAATAAACTTCCAGCATGCAGCTACTGTACTGCACAAACACTCCCACGCGCGTCAGCCGACAAATATGGGCCAAATGTCTCTTCACAGTTGACTCAGCGCTTGGCCGTAACAGCTCAAACCAACACAAACACACACACACAGACTGCTTCATCAAACCCCACTGAGCTCCTAAACGTGCCGCTCAAACAAATATATGAAAAAAGCCCACCAGATATGTTCATGTTCATCTACTGCTGAAGAAGAACTACAGTAAGTTTAAGATCCGAACTAGTATGCATGTCCAAGTGAAGTTCACTTCAACTTCTCTAACTTGACCATTTTCACGTCATGCAAAATCAACCAAAGTGGCAAAATGTGTGTTTAACTTACTACTAATAATAGTTTGTTAACATGATTGCATTTAACAAATATGCAAACGTTTCTCTTGAATTCACTTTAATTCTGACACATTGTGAAGTGCACTGTAAAAAGTGATGTTCTTACTTGGTGTTTTTATCTTGTTTTCCAATACAAATACCTATAAATATTCTTAAATTAAGATACTTTTACTTGAGATGCAAAATACCTGAAATGCATTAAAATGAAGCACATTTAAGCTTAAAACAAGAAATAAAATCAGTCGATAAAATCAAAAAATAAACAAAAATTCAAATGGAAACAAGATTAATTTTCTGACTCCACTGGCAGATATTTTTTCTTGTTTTAAGGATAAAATGCCTGAAATGCATTCAAATTAAGCGAGTTCAAGCTTAAATGGGGTCAGAAAAAAATCTACTTAATTCAAAGGGGGAAAAAATGTTATTTTTCTGACTCCATTGGCAGATATTTTTTCTTGTTTTAAGGATAAACTCACTTCATTTTGGTACTTTTTTTTTTTTTTTTTTAGAAAACAAGTTTGAGAAGCAAAATGACTTAAAATATGAAGTCTGGTTTTCTAAAAAAAAAAAAAAAAAAAAAAAAAGTATAGATATGAAGTGAGTTCATGCTTAAAAAAACAAACAAAATATCTGCCAATGGGCTCAGAAAAATAAACTTTTTCCCCCTTTGAATTAAGTAGGTTTTTTTCTGACCCCATTGACTGATATTTTATTGTTTTAAACAAACTCGCTTCAATCTGATAGGTTTCCTTTTTTTCAGAAAACAAGACTTGAGAAGCAAAATGACTTTAGATATTACGTGAAAATTAAGTTTTTGCTTAAACCGAAAAAAAAATCTACCAATGGGGTCAAAAAAAATCCTTTTCTCCTTTGAATTAAGTTTATTTTTCTTTTTTTAAGAATAAACTTAATTTTGATACTTAAAAAAAAAAAAAAAAGTATATGAAAATGAAGTGAGATTTGCTTAAAACAAGAATAAAATCTGCCAATGAGATCAGAAAACTAATCTTTTTGAATTAAGTTTATTTCTCTTGTTTTAATCATAAACTCACTTCATTTTTATATATTTGTCAGTAAACGAGACTTCATATCTCATGTCATTTTGCTTCTCAAGTTAATGTATCTTCTTGATTTAAGAATGTTTATTTATGCTGGAAAACAAGACAAAAATAAAAAGATAACAAGCTCTTACCACCTTATCTCATGTAATTATGCTTCTCAAGTTAACGCATCTTGATTTAAGAATGTTTAGATATTTGTTCTGGAAAACAAGAGGAAAGACTAAGCGAGAAAGCGCAGGATAACACAAGCTCTTACCACTTTAAAGTGATCCTCGTAGCTCCAGTCCGCTTGACCGTTAGGAGAAGATGCTGAGGGTCGCCCGACGGGTGAGAGATCGTCCTCGGGCTCCTGTTTGACCCTGACGGCGGGAGACGGAGCTCTCGGTGCGTCTGCAGGGGCCCCGGGGTCCGAGAAGTGAACGGCTCCCTGCTGCAGCGCCAGCGTCTGCTTCCTGAGGAACTCCAACCCGTCTTCATCCTCGCTGCCTTCATCGCCCTCCATCATCCCATCATCATCGTATGAGTCTCGGCCTCGTTCCTCCTCGTGTTCCGAGTCCAAACTGCTTTGATTGGAGACACAGGACGGATGTCCGGCTCCAGAAGAGCCGAGGCCCCTGCTCATGAACCCGGCCCCTGAAGCCTGAGCGGCGGCTAGAACGGCCTGCTGAGCCGCGAGCTGCTGCGCGTACATGATGTGAGCTTCACGCAGCCTGCGCTCCTTGTGCTCCATCTCCAGACGCGCCTGCTGCTGCCGCTGAAGATGCTCCATCATTTGCTCCAGCTTCACTCCTGCGGAGCCGCTGTGGGGAAACCCACCCAAACCAGCCTCCTGAGACACGGGACAGACATCAATGAGCTGAGCACTCACATCACAGCACGTCTCCTCAAAGCTATAAATGCGTAACTCAGCATGCATCTTTTTTGTTGGTCACGTGCAAACTTCAAACATAAACATATGGCTGCTGAAGCTAACATTAAAGGAATAGTTCAGCCAAAAATGAATTTGCTGAAATGTGGCAGAGCAAGTGATGCAATGCTACATTTTTCCAAATCTGATGAAGAAACAAACTCATCCTAATCTCGGATGGCCTGAAGGTGAGAGCATTTTCAGCTAATTTTCATTTATGGCTGAACTATTCCTTTAATGCAGAAACAACTGATAGTGTTGGAAGCATCACTTAGTTGATTGGTGTTTTAATGCAATTACAGCTTCCCTGGCTATTTTCATGGCAAGTGACAAGTTGAGGTATTATAAAAGAGCAATTAAAAATCCGGTGTAAGGTTTTAAAGTTCACTTTGGATAAAAACTCTAAAGTGCATTCAGGTTTGACTCTGTTAAACATTTCTTCGAATGCGTTTGCCGAGTAATACAGTTTCCTAAGAGAACTTAAACCAGCACAATTTGAAATGTTTTGGCAACATGATAAGGATGTTTGCAGAGCCGTCACACGCCCCATCGGTCACTACTTCCAGCATTCATTGATCATGTTCATGCATTTTTGTTTTGCAAACATAAACATTTGACTGTTGTTGCAAATTCTGCTGATTTCACCGACTCCACATTAATGCAAGAAGGGCCGGCAGATTTTGAATGTGAATTAGAATTTATATTTTAGAATGTGCCAACAAAAATCAAATCAACAGTATATTTTTCTTACACATTTTAGGCAGATATATTTGCAGGTGTAAAATTAATTGTCATGGTAATTAACAAAGAAATAGGTTTTTAATGGCTGAGAACCGGTGGCTAATGGCTCATTTAATCACAGAAAATATTTTTTAAAAATCCTGCATTTAAATTAATTAGTATTTTACACAGTATTTACTCAAAATACAACATTTGAAAGCATAAAATCAATTGACAATCTCAAAATATTAACCTGGCCAATATATGAGTCTAGCAACACAATACAGCACATTAAATACATGAAATCACATCAGAAACCGTCTCTTCGTGTCATTTACTGCGAAATGAACCCTCTCAGCTCTCTTTTCTTAAAAATCTACCGGGATTGAACACTGAAAACAGTGCAAAACGCACAAAAACTGTCAAAACCTGTGAATTCATCAGGAAAGTAAACACTTTGAATAGCAATGTTTGTTTTCTGCAGTACGTGACAATCAAACACTGAACTCAGTCAGATCTGGTTTTAAATCCACAGGTTCAGCAGGACAGACGGGTTAAATAACCCGCACGCAATAAACCACGATCTTCATAGCTTAAAACCACACAGATAGTGGCATTTCTGAAACAAAACAAGCTCGATTCGATGACTCAAATGTACTCATACTAGAGTAAAACTGTCAGGCATGAGAATCGTGTGGTTTAGGAGAATATAACATGACTGAAAACAGTTGAACGGCGGATCAAAGCCGAGGCCCCTAATGAAAGCAGCATGTTTGTGCATTTAGATGCATCTGGCACTCTGTGTGTGTGTGTGTGTGTGTGTGTGTGTGTGCGTGTGTGTGTGCG